GTCCAGCATGGAAGACATATAACAAACAATAATCGAACCTACAATGAATTAACTAATTAATGAGTACTGTGCTAAGTACATCAAAGGTAAAATAACAGTGCGCACGAGTGCACGTAACAAGGGACCTGACCCAGTGTAAGAGGTCAGGGAAGGCTTCCCTGAGGAAGTGACATTTAAGCTGAGATCTGGGGTATATCAAAGTCTCATTCTTGGATGACACAAACCATTAAGATCATCCATCTAAATCCATAGCTCTAATACCCCTTACCCAACAACCTTCTGGTTTTAATTTTACTTCCAACATAGATCTTACTATAAGGAGAAAAATGGGTTGATCCCTGCCTCAAGCATTATACCTTTAATTCTAAATTTAAAGAAAGAAATTAGGCATTTCTGAGCTATAGTAACATATGAGCAACATGATAATGAGAAAACAGGCCGTAGGCTCTCTATCACTGTGACCTTTTAAGCTAATCAATTGTATTATGTGAGAAACCATTTCCTCATGTGGCAAGGGGAGAAATTCAGTACATCTCTGATGTCCTTCCAGCTATGATAATTCAAGGGCTAAATATAAGAAAGGGGTGAGGAGGTCAGTTGTCTCTACCTTTGGCTTTCTTGGTAGCAAAATGACGGGTTGGTATAGCTGCATAGGCCACGTATTGCCCGTGGTCATTTTGTCTTCCACTCACTGCCTTCAGCACAACTTCCGAAACAGGTCTGGTCAAGGCTGCAAGAGAATTGTAAAAGGCAGGATGGACCAAGCGGAAGCACCTTAAACCCAAGGCCATGACTGAAGACAGTCTGTGTGAACATCTAAAAAGAATAAGACAAAAACAGACTCTATTACAACTTCAGAAAATAATCTGAATCAATTATCAAACAACTCCTATAAACTGAGCTATGTATTAGGCAATTGAAGTACATTATCTCTAATCCTCCTCCCAACAGCCTCCAAGGAAATATGATTAGCCCCATTTTACAGGACAAAGAAACTGAGGCTCACAGAGATTTAAGTAACTGGCCCAGTCTGTAAGACTCCAAATCCCCATGCACCAAATGCTTCTTAGTACACCAGAAACACAGAGCTAAGCAAATGATGCTAATTAAATACTTATAGGAGAAAAGGCACTACTATAAAAAGGGAGGGCAGAGCACTGGAAGAAAACTTTAAATAAGAAAACAATTTCAACAGGCATAAAATGACTGGAAAATTCACACGACAGCATTTAATTAAAATTTTCTTTGGTTCCTTATGCACTGATTACCAATTAAAATGCACTTTAATGTGAGTCTGAAGCATGGTTGAGGTTTGAGGTCTTCCATGTTATAGAATTAAAGCTCTGGAAAATGCCACCCTTTTCTGTGCTAACACAAGTTACACATTATACTTCTGAGGCCTTTGACTATGGAAAGATGCTAGAGTCTATAGCTACCTCTAGGATAAAACACAGTCCTAGCAAACTGACAAATGTGCTTCTGCCAAGAATCGGGCTATTACTCATCTAAAAATTAAAAACAATTAGCCTCAAATACCTGGAAGCTACTGTCTTTGAAAATCAGTTTCATACTGAACTAAAACGAAACAAAATTTCATCCTACAATTTTGGGTGGCAGCTGATCGATGTTTCTCTCTCATCAATGTTTCTAGCTCTCTATCTCTCTCCCTTCCTCTCTGTAAAATAATCAATAAAATATATTTTTTAAAAAAAATTTGATGTAGTACAACAGCCTGAATAAGAACATGGGTTTTGCAACCAGGAAGGCTTGGAACCCACTGCCACCTCCATCACTCACTAAATGTCCCTGAACATCACTGCACCTTGATTTCCTCAGCTGTCAAATGGGGATATATTTATTTCTTAGGGTTGGGAAGAATAAATGAGTTTGTACAGATAAAACACTTGGCCCAGTGGTTAACAGACAGCTGGAGCCCCCAAAAGGGATATCTACTGATCGCTTTGACACTTTTCCTTTCAAAGACTTCCACGATACGGTCAGACACAATAAAGAAATCTTGCATGTCCCTACTGATGTACTGGTAGCCCAGAGTCAGTCAGATCTGGATGTAAATTTCAACTTTGGGCAATTCACTCCATTTTTCTGGGTATAACTTTCCTCATCTGCAAAATGAGAAAAATATCCTGATCTTAAAATGAGATGGTGAATACATGTAAAACCCCTAAAACAGTGCCAGGAACACAGCACTTGCTTAATAAAAGCTATCATTATCATTATTTTTTAAAAGAGCAAAGGAATAGCACAAAGGCAAATAACTTCTGATGGAATTTTTAATAGCAAGAGATGCTAGATGTCAGTGATCAGTAAAAACAGATCTGGACAAAAAAACAACAACAAATGAATAGAATTTCCTCTTCTTTAATTATTAGCAATAGTTACTATTAATTGAAGCCTGGGTTGCTTGCTTTATCCATATTACGAGTATTTTACTTAATCCTTTTACTAATACCACAAAGAAAGTATAATAATCTCCATTTTACAGATGTAGAAACTGAGGCTCAAAGACATTGTCACTGTTTAAGGGCATGGAGCTAATAGCTCTGCCCTATTTCAGCCAAACCGTCCACAAAAGTTTGGCTCTAAGTGAGGTTTCTATATCTAGGTTTTTGCCTAATATAGCCAATGCCTAACCCACACTTACATCCAAATATGGCTGTATAATAATGTGTGTTTCTTGTTTTTTTAATCGACAAGGTCTCAATCTGGCTACTCCATTTAAGACAGGTTTCCTGGTGTTCCTGTTGCGGGTCATAATACCAATCCAGAAAGCAACAGGAAATCAAAATGGGTTAGAAATAAACACCCTTTGCCAGAAAACACAACACCCAAAAGCAGACCCAGTACACGTGAACCGGAAGCCAACTCTATAAATAAACCACACTGCTGAAATGCTTAAGGAAATTTCAAAGTGGAAGTTCACTAAAGGCAGTCCCTTCGATCCTTTACCTTAAGGATATGCATATTAACACTCAGTTCAGCACAGATGAAGTCAAGAAAAGCAACTGTTATGGGAGCCCAAGTATTATCCAACAAAATTAACCTATACTCAGAAAAACTGTGGCAGGAAGCACGCTGTCTTGAACTAGAGTCTCAGCCCCCCCACCACCACTTACTAGCTGTATGACCTTGGGTAGACCATTTATCCTTTTTGAGCTACAGTCTATGGTACACCGCATCTTTATCGTGGTGGTATTAATGAGCCTTTAAAAAGATAATTGTTAACACTAATAATGAAACAATAGCTACTACTTATATAGTGATAACTGTGTGCCAGAAACAGTTCTAAGTGCTGTACTGCATACATTAACTCATGTGAGCCTTTCTATAGAACCTACTTTAACAATATCAGTTAATATTTGTGTCGTTATTTGATCACTGTCTAATTCCTTCCATGTTCCTACAAGCACTATAAGGACTGGCCTATGGTTGTCTCGCTCACTGCTGTATCCCCAGTGCCTAGCACAGTCCCCGGACACAGAAGACACTGAATAAATGAGATGGATACATGAATGCAAGTCTAGAAAAATTAAGTCCTTGCCCAAGGTAACAAACAATGCTGGCACCAGAATGAGAATCTAAACCTCAGACAGTAGCTCCTGAGCTCTACTTCCCAACACTGCTTCAATTACCTTCTCGTTTGCCAGATTTTCACCTTAGATAGCAAGGCATGTTTTCCTCTAAATTCGGGGTCATCTAAAGTTTTGTATAGCACCTCACTATATACAGAAGCAAGTCCCTAGCACAGCCACAGGAGGGATAAGACACTTCCATAGGTGGAGGAGGAGCTTTTGCCTAAGGTAGGAAGTCTGGATTACAATATTCCTCTCTCAGCATTCTCTGCCAACCGTCCTCTTGAGATTCATAACCACCTGGTATCCAAAAAGCACTTGTGGCGGCTCCACGACTGACTTGTGGCTTGTAGCAGGTCACTTCTTCTACCTTTCCAATAAGACTCTCCCAGATTCTGAGAAATGCAATAGGACGTGGCGAAAGGAAAAAGGCACCAAAATTAGAAAAGACCCGGAAGCGAGTCTCGGTTCCAGCAATTACTAAGATGTGACCTTAGATAGGTCAGATCCTCGGGACCTTCATCTCATCTGTACCGTGTAGGTGATAATATCATTCGTGGAGCAAATGAGATAAGGGCTGCAGACGCATTTTGTAAACAGAGGAGGGCTGCTGAGACGACAACCGTCTTGCCACGGGACGGGACGGGACGGCACAGGGTAAGGGTTGAAAGTTGAGGCTTTGGGATTTAAGCTCCATTAATTACTAGCCACGTGACCCTAGTACAGTTTTGTGTTTTTTCTCTCTGAGCTTCCGTTTCTTCATCATGGGAATAATGATATTGTTCTGGAAACTAGTATTCCTGCTAGGTGACCCTCCACACACACACACATCAAATGCTCGAAGTTCCTAGCTGATGACACGTGTTCCGCCCCCAGCTCGTGACACCGGCTCTGATGCTACAGGTCCCGCCCCCAGTCGTAAGGTCAAGCCGGACTGGATGGGACTTGTCGGGGTACCACGATCAGGCCCACTACGGTCCCTAAGAAGTCCTGGGGTAGAGATCTCTGGCACCGGGAGCCCGCGCGCGCCTCCAGGCCGTGCCGAGACCACTCACCAGCTATCACCCAGGCTATTAGGAAAAGACTCTGGCGACCTCGGCGACGGCGGCGGCGCTGGCGTCGTGACGTCACGGGGCGGGGCGGCGCGGCGGCGCAGGCGTCGTGCGTCACCCGCGGCCTGGCGGCAGGTAACGTCGCGACGGAGGCGTCTGGAGCGCGGTGGGCTGCGGGGGGGGGACCTGCCCTAGGGGCATGAGCCGAGGAGAAGACGCCGAGGCCAGGAGGTGAGTCCGGGCCCCTGCACCACAGCCCCGACCCCGGCGGGCCTCCCCGGGGAGGCGGCCGGAGAAGACGCTTCTCAGGCCCCGCCCCGGATTGTCCCGCCGCTGGCCCGGAAATAACAAACCGAGTGGTGACCCGCCGCCTCTGGGAATTCGAGGCCTGGGTCGGGAAGCCGGGGTTCCACGTGGGACTCCGCCGTTAACAGCCCTTAGGAACGAGTGCCTCTGCTCCTCTGCACTTCATTTCCCCCAAGTGACTATTCCTGGCTTCCAGGCTGTTGCAGCTCCTCCGGGAGGAGAGGTGAAAACGCGTGCTTGTCAGCCCTGTTAACAATCTAAGTGTTGTCGCTGTTGCAAAGTCAAAGGGTTTTGAAAGTCTCGGGCCATCTTGATTTCTCGTTACACTTTCGCAAAAAGCGCTGTGCTGAGCTGTCACCGACACTGTCTTGTTTTAGCCTCCTAACGACCCAGTGGAAAGGGATAATGGTGTCCATTCTAGGAAGAAGGGAGGAACTGAGGCTGCGAGTGGAAAAGTGGCTTGCTTCGTTCATTCATTCAGTAAATATTGATCGCTGGCCACGAGCCGCTGGGGATGGAACCATGATCAAAATAGGCAAGGCCCTGCCCTCTAGTAGCTTCCATTCTAGTGAGGGAAACGGGCGATAAAACAGTATATCACAGAAAATTAATCAGCATTGTGTGGAAAGGAAAAGGTGGCTGTGATAGAGACTAACAGGGAGCTCCCTCCATTAGGAACTTTTCTGAGAAGAGGACACATAAGGGGGAGAAGGGATCGTGACTCACTAAAGTCATACAGTCATGGGGTGCAAAAACCAGGAGTTGAATGCAGATTTTGTGGGGGCCGATTTCCTGTGCTCTTCCCGCTAAAGATGGTACCCTCCTGTGATACTAAGAAGCTATTGGTATCATTTCTGTTTTTAGACATGAGACAATCAGAAGGTCCTGTTATTCCAGTTCCGTCTCAAATATCATCTCCTTTAGAGGCCTTTCCGCTAGTTCCAAAGTAGTCCAACCCCAGTATTCTTTTCCAATCACCTTGCTTCGTTGTGTTTGCAGCACTTACCATGAGTTACATCTTATTTATTTTGCTTTTTTTTGTGTCCTGCCCCTCTTCCAAATATTAGTACCCTTTGGGTACTTTCTTCACTGCTCTGTCCCCAGGACCTAAACCAGTGATGGCGAACCTTTTGAGCTCGGCGTGTCAGCATTTTGAAAAACCCTAACTTAACTCTGGTGCCGTGTCACATATTGAAATTTTTTGGTACTTGCAACCATAGTAAAACAAAGACTTATATTTTTGATATTAATTTTATATATTTAGATGCCATTTAACAAAGTCAACCAAAAAAATGAGTTTGCGTGTCACCTCTGACACACGTGTCATAGGTTCGCCATCACTGACCTAAACAATACCTGGAAAATAGAACCTCAGTAAATTTTCTTTGAATGAATGATCTTTAAGAAAGTAAGAGGAAAGAAAAGAAAGTAGGGAGAAGACAAAATGTTTCTCCTCTTATTTTTACTCCTGGGATTCTGTTTATGTCTGTCTTACCTTCCTCACAGGAGGTAAGAACAAGAGCTATGGGTTATTCATGTCTTTATTTTCTGCATATAACCCGGGGTTTAGCAGTTAGTGGTTGCTTGTCGCACATTGCCAAACAGATTGAACATGTGAGTGGTAAAGGCAGAAGAATACCCTTTTGTGGGAATAGATAAACACAGTCAACAAACAATTATCTAGGGCAGTGATGGCGAACCTATGACACGCATGTCAGAGGTGACACGCGAACTCATTTTTTTTGGTTGATTTTTCTTTGTTAAATGGCATTTAAATATATAAAATAAATATCAAAAATATAAATCTTGCCCTAACCAGTTTGGCTCAGTGGCTAGAGCGTTGGCCTGCAGACTGAAGGGTCCCAGGTTCGAGTCCAGTCAAGGGCATGTACCTTGGTTGCGGGCACATCCCCAGTAGGAGGTGTGCAGGAGGTAGTTGATCGATGTTTCTCTCCCATCGATGTTTCTAACTTTCTATCCCTCTCCCTTCCTCTCTGTAAAAAAACAAAAAAATCAATAAAATATATTTTTTTAAAAAATAAAAAATAAATCTTTGTTTTACTATGGTTGCAAATATCAAAAAATGTCTATATGTGACACGGCACCAGAGTTAAGTTAGGGTTTTTCAAAATGCTGACATGCCGAGCTCAAAAGGTTCGCCATCACTGATCTAGGGGCTACTGTGTGCTAGACTTTATACGCTGTGCTGAGATGGTAAGAGGTAATGGCAGTGTTGTTATTAAACAGTTCCTGCCGCACCAACCTCTTGAGGCCCTTCTGGTTATATAGGACACGTTTCTGTAGCAGGGAGTTCTGAAGTCTGGCACAGCCTGCCATCTTCCCAGCCCTTTTGTCTCTTCTTTGCTGCATTATATTTTCATGAATGCTGTATTTTATATCTGGCATCTCATCTTTGTCCTCGCAACAACCTTAAGGTATAAGCAGGGCAAGGTTTATTGTGTAGAGATGAGGAAACTGAAACTTAGGGAGAAGTGACTTCCAGTCGAAATGCCAAAATTTGAAACCTAGTCTCCTGACACCGGGTTTTTTTGTACACTACTGTGGCCATCATAATCCTCATTTTCCTTTTTTGTCTATGAGATGAGACATTTCAGGAACTAAGACTAGTAATAATTTAAGCTAACATTAATTGAAAGCTTGTTAGGTGCTTTAAGAGTATTAACTCAGTAAGTCTTCACAACTCTTATGGGGTATTATTCCCATTTTACAGATGGGAAACTGAGGCACAGGGTGGTTAAATAATTTGCCCAACGTTACAAAACTAGTAAATACGAGAAATGGACTAACTAAGGAGGAAGTTCATCTCTTCTTCCCAGCCTCTCAAAATATTAAACATGATAATAGCTAATATTTATTATTTACTATTGTCAGATATAGCATTTAATGATTTTTTTCATGCACTGCCTGTAATCTTCCCAATGGCTCTGTAAGATAAGAACTGTTCTTTCCATTTATATAAATGAGGAAAAGGAGGCCTATAATGTTTAGGTAATTTATCAATTCACATAACCTGCTTGCAAACTCAGTTCTAATTCCAAAATCTATGGCCTTTAATTTCCTGTATTGCCTTTTTCACTATTGCTCCGCCTTACCCATCTTCTTCAGTGTCATTAACTTTCTTTCTGGTGGTTTCCAAGGCTTACTTTGGGTGATAATTGTTAAACTGGAGTATCGTGCAGTAAGAGAGACTTTGGCCTCCTGCCCAGTCAGCCTCTGGCTTCAGAAGAGGAAAACTTGAGTTTCTACACACAGAACCACACCCCTTTCACCTTAAATGGAAGCTTTTACTTTCTGGCTGCCAGAGGAGCTGTCCCAAGGGAACTGGTGCTGGGGCCCTGGTTGTGGAAGAACTGAGGCCTTTGAAGGATTGCCCAGGGCATTCCCTCCTTGAATAAATGTTTGTTGAACTGAATTTGAAGTCTCATGTTCACACAGTGTTGCTCTTCTGCTGTCTGAATGTTCGCATTTCCTTTAGTATTTAATAGAGATTGATGGAAGCAGAAACCAAAACTCTTCCCCTGGAGAACGCATCCATCCTGTCAGAGGGTTCCCTACAGGAAGGGCACCGGTTATGGATTGGCAACCTGGACCCCAAAATCACAGAGTAAGTCAAAGTCATCTTGATTCCTTGCCTAGAAACTGGGATGTCTACAGTGGTGTTCAGAAGAATTTTTAAGGATAGAGGATATATTTTGGCCCTTTTACTTACGTTTCAGTTGTCTTTAAAGGAGATGTGATGTTATTAGCCTGTTATTTTGGTATTTTTCTTACATTTGGACTCTTCTACTGCAAAGACATAGACTTGGATAGCCTTTAAACTATATTCTTTTTTTCTACTTGCCAGAGATCAACTATTTGAATCCTTGTACCCATGATCAGGAAATTATTTTTTAGAATCAGCTTTGGGCATGATTTCCTCAAAATGAAGGAACAAGCAGAAATCTCAGTGTATTCATAGGCAGGTAGAGGGGCAGCATTTGACTTTAATTCATGTTAAACAGCCATGGGAGGTCAGAGCTGGAAGGGATCTTAGAGATCACCTCAGTCCCTTTGGTTTTCATTCATTAAATGATTTGCGTGCCTACTGTGTGCCAAGTGCCCTATGCTAAGCCATTTTCCAACTCTTAAAATCTGAGGGATCTTGTCTTAAAGTAATGAGAACATATATATAAAGTAAAAGCTCAGAGCTGCTCTGATTGAAGGAGGGGAAGAGGCGCACTCACAGCCTTTGGTAACTCCCACCCTTTCTTTAGCAATCACTTATTGGACTCCATGAGGACCATTTGAAAATCTCTGATATGGCCAGTTCTCTTAACCCACAGTAGAGGCCCCAAGAGATGGAAGTGCCTTGCCCACCACAGTCAGAAAAGTAATTGAATTGTCCTGACTCCCCACTCTTCCCACTGTGGACATTATAGTGGAAAGGAATTTCTGAGCAAAGAGAATGGAGATGTTTTTCCTTCTCCCAGTTGTTCAGGGTCGTGGTTGGTAGCGGGTGAGTGGATTGAGCTAGATGGGCTCAGTGCTTAAAGTAAACGTGGAAGATTTCATCAGTCCTAGTAGTTACTCTCTTTGTAATAGTGTTAAAAGGAAGGGGAGAAGAGACAACAGAACCTTCAGAGTCTGGAATTAGAGGAGGTACATTTAAGGGTTGAGATTAAGAGACAGGAAAAGGGATGTAAACTAACATATCATGACAGAAAATTTAGTTCCTTAAACCTGCTCAAGCTCAAATCAGCTAAATGTAGATAGTGTTTGGTCCCTCTGGAAATTATGATGGTATTTAAGGTTGTGTTGCCCCATATTATGTGACCATGGTCATGGGGACCCTGAAATATAGACTGTGAATTGATTTTGGTTCTCTTTATGGCTCATGGCTTTGAGGATGAATGTGTGAATCTGCCCAGCCTCTCAGTTAATGTGTGTTGATCAGAAAAACTTTCCATCATCTAAAACCCAAGCTTGTGAGGGGACACTCCCAAGAATGGTTTCCATTCCTACCCCTGCTTGTCTGAATGGAAATCTGGAGTATGGAAACTGTTCATTGTTTTGGCTGCAATTCCCTGTAATGAGACCCTTGTTCTAAGTGTGTCCTGCTGCTTGTCAGGAAGGTTCAAGTGGGCACCTGCCACCTCGGTTTATGTCGTAAGTTGGAGTCTTTGAATGTTTTCTTCAGTTACAGCATTAACAACCCTGAATCAAAACTTTCCCTCTGGTGCCTCTGCTCTTTTACATCAGGCCTAAGGTGGGTGGCAAGTCCTAACCTACAGGTCGGGGCGTTGCAGGTTCTACCTGTGGCTTCCCACTTCTGTATCACCAGAGATCATTTTCACTCTTCTTCCTCTATGGACTCCTCATTTTAAAGCATTTTCTCTGTTAAGCCAATTGATTAAATAGTAATCAATTTTTTTAAAGACATAGCTACCAATCATAGCCTATGATTAGCTTGAAATACTTAATATTACCTTATTTAATTTACTTAATTATAACAAAGAAAACTAACATATTAGTATGATAGGTCTTATCTTGTAGGAATATGTGATTTCCTTCCAAGTGTTTGAAGCAGAGAAACTTCTGGATCCTCTTCCTCTCAATGTAGGTAATAGCCTAGACTAGTTATTAAAATACAGTCATTCCCAAACATTGGAAGGATTACATGATAAAACTTATGTGACCTTGTGGTGCCTGGCTTATACTTCAATCTCAGAGGGTATTGTTTGAATCCAAATCGCTAAACTTCTAAAGACTTGCCAGAAGTTTGCAGAGCACCTCCGGTTTTCGTAATGAAATCGACATCCACCAACAGATTGGTACTAGTTCTTGCCTGTTTTCCATTCAACAAAACCATTCTTATCTCTCTTGTTTCTGCATATCCATACTCTTTACCATCCCTCCTCCTGATCTCTTCTATAAACTGATCTGAATACCCCTCCTATAGAAATGCTTTTTACCTCTTATTAGAAGACAAATTATAGTATTTGCTGTCACGAATAGTTACAGAAATATGTAAACCAACGACAGTTAAAAACTTTACCGCACAATTTTTAGTAGTAATTCTATGTGCATGTGCTTGTTAGTTATTAATCGGAGTCAGGCTCTCCTCTCAACAGTATATGCATTCCTAACGAACTTTCCAGCACTCTAATATTCTGCTGCTCGTTATTTTTTGTTCACTTTGTGGTTGCAAAACTGCCCATTTTAGGGCCATGCTAGAGGCCAGGAATATCCAAATGACTAAACAGATTTTAGGGATTTGGATTTAGAGGAATGATGACATACTCTTATTTATGGAGGTAGCAGATTCCAAACTCACGTTCTTTCTACTATATTCTGATTCCTTTCAATTACATTATACTTAATATTTCTTACCTATAAAGAGAATATTCAACTAAATGATCTGAACATTTTTCTAGCTCTAATATTGCATTAGTTCCTCTTATTTAAGAGTGTGACAACCTTGTGAAGCCAGTGGAACAGATATTTTCCCTCTTTTATAGAAAGAGTTAAGTGAGTTGACTCAGTTTCCCACAGCCTGATTTAGTGCTCTTTGCACAAGTAGGTAATAGTTCACATAATTGAATAGTTATAACCTAAAGTATCCTAGTCTAAATTTTAAAATGTAAGGACTTCTTTTAAATGATGGGACTCAAATCTAACTATAAAACAACACCTCTAAATATCATTAAGGGGGTGAGGGGGAGGAAGGACATATATAATACTTTCAACAACAAAGATTTTAAAAATAAATAAATACTAGATGTGTGTGTGTGTGTGTGTGTGTGTGTGTGTGTGTATTACTAGTATCTTCAACAGAAAAACTGAAAAGTTCAGGTCTTTAATATTGTCTATTTTCCACACTGTGGTTTCCTCTGAAGGGTTAATACTGCTTTCTTTTTCAAATATTAAATGTGCTGTATAGAAGGCCAAATTAATAGCCACAGCATTGTGCATAAGAAGTGTGAACAGGAATAAAGCCAGGAGAAGTTCTCTAAGAAGGAGCATTCTGAATGAATGGTGAATCATAAATAAAGGTAGGAATAAGATTGTTGTGGAATAATAAGTCTTAGCAGGAAGACCTTTTTTTTATTTAAAAAAATGTTTTTATTGATTTCAGAGAGAGGAAAGGAGAGGGAGAGATGGAAATATAAATGATGAGAGAGAATCAGTTGGCTTCCTCCTGCATGCCCCCTACTGGGGATGGAGCCAGCAACCCAGGCATCAAGTGGAACCTCCTGGTTCATAGGTCGATGCGCAACCACTGAGCCATACTGGCTGGGCTCATGAAGACCTTTTTACTAAAGGAGAGGTTGAATACTAAATGATAGTGAAAATATTTAGAGAAATAGAATACTATCAGATTAAAATAGTCTTTAAAAGTTAATTCACACCCGATTGAATTTCATGTAGAAGAGACGCATTGTGGGTGTTTAGCAAGAGACTGATATCATGAAAATGATCTATAATAATAAAAGCATAATATGCTAATTAGACCAGACATCCTTCCATCCTTCCGGATGAAACCATGGCTGCGAGGGAAGCCGGTGCCAGCAGCCGGGGAAGGAAGGCCTACTCTTGCACGAATTTCGTGCACCGGTCCTCTAGTGTTTTAATAGGAAAATTAGTATGAAGGATGAATTGGAGGGGCAAGGCTAATGATGAAGTTTAGCTACAGGTCTGCCATTAATATCCCCTAGATAGAGACCGTGAACTTGGAGGCCAGTGGTGAATCAGATGAAGAAAAAGTGATTGAAGAGGAGTGGAGAGTTGAAGATGATCCTAATGTTTCTTGCCTGAGAAATGTAAAAGAATCTTGTCCACACTGACCCCTGGGATAGCTGGGAAGAGGCAAAAGTTTGTGGAGGGGAAGAGGTCAGTTTGGGGTAGATTAAATAAACTTGAAAGCAGTGGAGAGTCATCCAGGTGGAAATGTCCTTCTGATACAGACTTTCACAGATAAACTAGAATGCAAGGAAAAATAAATGCATTATGAAACAGTCCTTACTGTTTGCTTACTTAAATTTGGAACACAGTAAGACCAGTCTATTACATACAAAGCATAGAACATGAAGACCTGCCACATAACAATTTCTATAAGTTTAGAATGAAATTTTCCTTTGAACAAATTGTGCACTAAATGTCATCTTAAATGTCATTTTGTTGCTTCCCATTGCCTTCAGCATCAAATTAAAATTCCCTCACTAAGCACACATGTTTCATAACCTGTTCCTTCCTGCCTTGCAGCCTCATCTCTTAGTGCCTCCCCAACTCTCTTTCAATCGATCAGACATTTTGTCACCTATATATCAGTGTACTTAGCATTCACTGACCACTACTTTCCCTGAACAATGGTCCTCTTCATCTTTATGCTTACCAGTATGTGCAAGCATGACACTGTAATTGATTACATATCTCCCTCTTCTAACCAGAATGTGAAGTCCTTGCAGGCAAGGACCTCTTGTACTCATCGGGATAGTCCAAGAGCCTAATGCAGTTTTTGACACATAGTAGTTGTTTGCTTTAACATTTGTATAGATTAATTACTTATTTGCCATTAGGCAGCAATGCCATTTAAAGACCCATTACAAAAAACAACAATACACTGATTTAAGTTGCTGGTGTAGTAATTCTCTAGCTCCAGAAGCCTGCAGGGCCCACATTTCCTGCAGGGGGGAAGCAAGGCTCTGGTGAGTAGTGAGATCTCCCATTCTTCAGCAGCAGATGAAAGTGCTTGCAGATGTGAAAGCAAGAGTCTTCAGGTTTTTTTCACTATCAGAGCTTGCAGTCCCCATCTCCAGGAAGCAAAATAGTAAACATTTCATTCCTTTTGTTTCGGTGTTCCGATAATTTCAAGAAATTATCAAACAAGAAAAGAAATCCTGGAGAAGTTGAAAGACACAGACCTAAGCAGATGTTCCTGGAATCTTAAGGTCGGGCTTCTTGGGCAAAACGTATTTGTTAGCTTTTCAAAGAATAATCTGCCGGCTTTTTTTTTTTCCCTGAGTAAATTAAAATTCATTTCCTAGGAAATGCCGATCGTCTTACCTTCCGGCTATTAAGCAGAATAGAGCTAATGAAAAGATGACCAGCCCACAGAGTCCTTTAGATTGTTTAAAAAAAAAAAAAACAGGTTTGACCCACCATTCATAGCAACTGGTGCAGTGTTATGGTTTGAATGGATGTACTAAGTGGGAAATGCAGCTGTGAATTAGCGACGTTGAGGGAGACTCTTCTAGCCTATCTGTCTGCTCAGAGACTCACTCTTGCTGTTCCAAAAATCACGTAAACCAGACATGTGTGCTGAGGTGTCTCCCTTTCCCCTGATGAATCACCTCCTAAATTCTCACTCACAGTTGAGGTCTCCTGATGGGAGTTGAGAGTTTAGAAACGAGAAGGTTGTTTTTTCTTTCAAAATAGGTCTAAAGACCAGATGAATATCCACAGAATACCTTGGGATCCTTGCATCCTGCCCCAGTAAAAGACCTGTATTGTGTCTTCCTTTCTCCAGTTTGTCAGGCACCTGATCCAGGATAATGGGCTTGCTTGTCAATGTGTATTAGTGTCAAATTCAGTAGAGCTTATGATCCAGTTCCTATCTTTCTGCCTCCCAAAGGAGATTCTTAGTCAAGAATAAAATCTTGATGAGTTTCTCCTAGAAAACAATGTGAATATAAATGTGGCTGTAAGGACAGCTTTACTGACTCCCTGTGGGGTCGAATTCCCAGTAATAACAGATTTAGCATGTGGGCTGATACCTTTTTAGTATCACAGGGACAGCATTGTTTAGAGAAAGCCTTGACTCCATTTGAATAGTGTGGAGGATGCCAGGAGGAAGGCCAAAGGAAAAGGAAACGGGAGAGCTGTTGGTTTGTCTCACCCTTGCATCAGATGACAGGAAGTCGGAATTGAGATTGGCCACAGCAACCTGTTAAGGCCACATCTGTTTGAATAACTTAAAAGCTCTATAGAAACCAAATAAGTTTTAGAGAAAGGAATCCAAGAAGAGGGTGAAGGGCAGAGTGGCAAGCAAAAGCTTGGAATAAATTTCTTCCCTGGCCAGCTATATGTTTTATTCAACCATGCTCCAGAGTCTAAACTGTGTTAAGAAACAGGCTTGTTAGTTACCCACAGCTGGATGGAACTGGCCAGGTTCCCTGTCCTGTGTGAGACCAGCTTCAGTCACATTGTGGTTCCATATTGTCCTGGCGTTCAGTCACATCAGAGATTGAAACTCAAGCACTTAATAATGGAAGTGCCACTAGCTGTGGCTTGGTTTGGGGCAGTTTCTCACAAGCGCAGTGTGGGGTTAATGCTACAATCTAATAGGGAAGTCTTTCTGGATTACTTATTTGTGTGATTGTGTATGTGTTACTTTATTTTTGACTTTTGGAGTGTGTGTGTTTTGGAGTGTGTGTGTTTCTGATGGAGTTGTGGTTATTCACAAATATTATTTCATTGCCAAGAAGTTAAAAATAAATAAATCGACACTATTTTTGAGCTTTTCTCCAAAAGAAAAACAAATGGTGCTTGTGGGCCAGACAGCTGTTTGTTAGGTGTGGTTTTTTGTTTGGTGGTTTTGTGCTGGACAGACGCATAGCCATGACAATTCTCGTTCCCATTCCAAATAGAGGCAAACAACTCTGTTTGCCAAATAGACTAACAGAGCAGTTTGGAGGAAGGCAGGGGGCGGGGGCGTGAGATGTTATCCCTGGAGTAAATTATCTCTTGCTTTTATCTCATACTCAGGCTCATTGGCCAACAGATTTCCCTGAGCGTACTCATGGACTGTGCTTTCCCCACAGATACCACCTCCTGAAGCTCCTCCAGAAGTTTGGCACGGTAAAACAGTTTGACTTCCTTTTCCACAAGTCAGGTGCTTTGGAGGGACAGCCCAGAGGGTACTGTTTCGTTAACTTTGAAACCAAGCAGGTAATTGGACTGCTTCCCCTTTCCCAGTACTTAGACTCTCCCATGAGTATTTGTGCATGTCTCTTAACTGCTAGAATAGCAGTTCCTTGCGGGCAGGAGCCAAGTCTGATTAATGCCTCTGTGCCTTGCTCTGAGTCTTAAAGGAGGTCCTTGGTAAATGAAAGAATTAGTGAATAGCTTCCAAAATTTACCCTCCCTAGGCTTTCGGACAAAGGTGGCTGGCTGACCTACTTTTCTGACCAAATGCTTTGGGATGCCCACATGAAGCAAATGGATATCCTCTTCCCTCATCTGCTTTGTTTTTGCCTTTAGTGGCTGACCAACAAAGCCGCCTCCTCTTTCAGTAGTTTTGTCCTGTGGTACAAAAGCTCTCCCTGTCTGTGGTGAGCCACCCACAAACGCTTTTTTCTTTCAATTTCTTAAAAATTTACCCTTCTTCTGAATGTCTCCAAATAAATGCATACAAATTTGAATATATATCTAAAGGAAGAAAACATCCATCCTCAATCATGATATATACATGTATCTTGTATTAAAATTTTGTCCTTGGGATGGATACGCATTGATAAAGAACTTGAATTTGAATGTTATTAAATATAGAGACACTGCTCAGTACTCTCTGTCACTTTATTAGTTTTATGTGAGAACATTGTCTAGTTATTGTTTTATTAATAATTGTATTTGGATGTTTTTCTTATTATAAAAGTAAAGCATGTTTATTATAGATGAAAATATACCCAGTAGGTACGTGGCTTAATTTATCAGCCAGATATCCAGAAATAATCAGTTAAGTTTTAGTTGTGTGTCTCTTAGTTTCTTCTTCTTTCTTCACATTCCCACAAACAAAACAACAACCCTGGAAGACTTTATACATACACGCATATATGGCTTCTAATACATGAATAGGATCATATGATCCTGTTTGGCACTCAAAGTATACTAAATTTTTTTTCTGTCACCTAATACACAGCAAGAAAACATTCTGTATCATAATATTGTGGTTTCACTGGTATAGATTTAAATATGTAAAAATTCATTGATCTGTATCTTTAATATTTATACATTTTATTACATGTAGCAGACCTCAGTTTAAAAGCTAATCAACAGGATGTTTGATGACCGCATAATATTTCATTATATGAACATATGGTATTTGACTAACTGTTAGCTATTTAGGTTCTCCCTAGTGATTCACAAGTGTAAACAGTGCAGTAGTGAATACATTTGCAACTCTAACCCTGCATATCTACTGCACTCAGGAAAATGGAGTGGCATCAACAAAGGCCATGCAGATTTTTCATAATACAACTGCCAGATTGTTGTCAAGAAACGATGTGTCAGTATGTGTTGAGATGTCATTGTCCTGCCCCGTACTGGGGGATTTTTTTTTTTTTTTTTTTTTTTGCAGCTCTGATAGGCAATAAGTGATACATTGCTGCTCTAATTGTTCAAGTTTTGGGGAAACTGAAAGAATGCCTGATATGGTTAGCATTTGTAAATACTTTATTTTTCCTCAATGATAGAGCGTGATGACAATTCTTACAGACAACTAAAGTCTGTCATCTTGCTGGACTAGAAGTCACAAAGCCTATCTTCTATTCTGGCTCTTTTATTTATTAACTTTGGACAAGTCTCTTAACTTCTTTGGCCTCAGTTTTCATCTAAAAATGGGGATTAAAAACCTACACCCTTCTTACCTTATAGGAAGTTAAGAGACTAGATGAAGGTGCATAGGAAAACATAGTTGACATTTAACAGTAATGTTGACTGCAAGAACTTTGAAACAAGGTATAGAGATAGGAAATTATTTCTTGAAGCATTTGTCACTGCTGGCACCTTATTAGTGTTGATGCTACAGAATTAATAGAGAGTGCCATGTAAATTCTGATTGACTAAATGAAACTTAAAAGGAGAATAAAATGTCCCTCTTATTCATCCCTTTAACTTTACGTGCTGTAGTGAGGCAAGGAAGCCAGTGACTATTTAATATCTGACACATAGTGAGTACTCAATAAGTATTTGTTGAAGGTCATACTGGTAAGCTCCAGAGGAATAAAGCAACCACCAGTAAAACCAGACTGGAATGCCTGAGGTCACAAATAGACTGTCCCTGTTTCTTTTCTTTGTTCCTTAAGGGCTTCTTCACCCCCAGTGAACATGGTTCCTCTTGGCCGAATGCCTTGTGGATACACACAGAGCAGAGAAGGCTCAGCAGGATGGAAAAGTACAGCCAGGCTTCCTGGGAATGTCCTAGAGTGCCTGTTATCCAGCTTCAGGAATTCCTTTCAGCCTGGTTGCTCCTGTGTCTGATAGGGAAAAGGTCAGGGGACTTCTGGTTTGGAAAGCCAGGTGCATAGATTGGCTCACAGATACCTTGCTCACAGTCTCTTTGACTTACTCTTGCTTTTTCCGGCTTAGTTTTCTTCACTCCCATATCCTTTGAGGCCATTACTGTTTCTCACTTAGGATCCAGGGAGTATGAGCCCTAGTCCAGGATACAGTTCCAGGGTTCCTGGGGGGAGTACTAGTTCTTGACACAGTAAGTGCTACCCTGACTAACAGAAGTAGGTAGGAAGGTATCACCTAATAACAATACTGTCAGCTAATGTTGGTTGAGTGCTTCCCACACGCTCCATCCTTTCCGTGTACTCTGTTACTCCTCACAAACCATCGAGGAGAAAGTATCCTCCATAGTTTACAGGTGAAGAAGCTAATATTCAGAGAGATGATTTATAAGTGACCTGCCAAACACTAAACTGCCAGTAAGTGACAGAGCCACTTAAATTTTTGTTTGACTAAAAAACTCACACCCTTTTTATTATTTTCCTTTTTTTCTTTGTAAACTTTTTGCCAATTGTTTACCAAAAGTGGTGTGGTTAGAAATTCAGCCATCAAAGCTAACGAGGCCCTTGTGAATACATGTAGCTTGTCGGCCATTTGACTTGTTGACTAACTGTAGGCCCTTTCCTGGACAGGAAGCAGAACAAGCCATCCAGTGTCTCAATGGCAAGCTGGCTCTGTCTAAGAAGCTGGTGGTGCGATGGGCCCATGCTCAAGTCAAGGTAAGTGTGAGACGCTGGAAAGGCAGCTTCAGCTCATCCTAATGAGTCTTCCAAAAGACAATTGTCCAGTTAGCCATTTGCATCCCAGTCTCTTCACATCTGGAACAGCCATACTCTGGTCTCCTACTTGTATTTACCATGTGTGTTGCCAGATTTTTCTTTTGAGAAGCATCTCAAGAGGGATTAAGTTCTTTCATTGTTTCTCTCCACATACCCACAGATTCTGTTTTTGATTGATTTTTCCATGTGGCTGATGTGTATACTCAGACCTCTATCATTTTTTTGGTGGGGTGGTTCTTTGGAAGAAAAAAAATGTATTTATTTTTAAAATTAGTTGCTTTAGGCATTATTAGACTCTCCCCAGCCTCTCAAGTCTGTGAAGAGTTTGAATATGTTTATTCTAAATGCTTGAGAAGTGGGTAGTTTGCATGAGTGCTTAAAACACTGGCATCTCATTACACCAGATATTTCGAGAGTTATTTTTGGTACTTTGCAGGGTCTGTATTGTCTTCAAGGCCTGAGAAGTGGCACACTGCCTTATTCGTCTTGTAGGAGGTCTCTTGGGAGAGCGCACTGGAAAAGCTATGACCATTTTTAAAAATGAATGGCTTTCTGTCCTGGCTGGGGAAACTGAAAGAGGTGGTGAAGTACAGGGACTGGAGTAACCCTAGGAGTTGATTCCCTTTCTTCTGCAGTGGGGTTGGGAGACCTGCAAAAAGATCTGTGGCCGTTAAAACTGGAGCTTCAGTCTTTAGCTATATGAGTATGGGTTTTTGATCAGAGACTCCACCCAACAGGCTTCCTGGAAGAGTCAGAAGTTAAACATTTGAGCTCAGTGTCCAAGCTGGAAAACAGAGCTCAGACACTTTGGATCCTGCGTTTCAGGTGGTCAGCCACAGAGTCTTCTCAGCTTCCAGGGCTCACTACCTGGAAAATAGAAATGAGGAAAATTACCAAAGACTTTTTTACTCAAAAGAAAATCCAGTCTCATTGGCCAGACTGGCTGTCATTTTCTCATTCTGCATCTCACTGAAAAGGCACGCAAGAGAAACCATTCTTCATTCCTTCTTTCATTTGAGACTCTCTGTGCCTCGTACTTCCCTTCTCCTACAGGTCTTTTGACCAGAGGATCCTGGTTGCTCTGAGATATTATTCTTTACTTTTTACAAGAAGTATATAATTTCTCACATCAAATTAAACTGTTCTTTTCCTGGAGAATGTTTTCTGTATCAATGGCTGAAAGCTATTACTATTTTTCTTCTCCACTCAGGCCTGTTAAGAGTTGAATGTTATGCTTGGTACTTGGCAAAAATCTAGCAAAATTTTTAAGTGTTTGGATGAAGTAAAATAAATATGGTAAAAGGTGATATGTGACCATTAAAATAAGAATGTAAGGGCAATCCTGCCGTGTACATGTGCCACCTGTGAATTTGAAACTAGAAATTCCCTACCAGATAAGGAGAACTAATGGCTGGTGGGAGGCTTCTTCTAAACTTCTTTTTCTAAATGTATAGCTTTAAGCCAAAATTGTGTGGAGTTTTGCATTAATTCTAAATGTAAAGCTGTCCTAAAATTGTCTAGAAATATGCTGATGATATCCTGGTGGGGTTGAAGTATATAGACCCATGCTCCTGTGCAAAAACCAGCCCATTGGTTTTTGCACAGGAAGTAATTTCTGTTTTTCTTACTTCTAGAGGTATGATCATAACAAGAATGATAAGATCCTTCCAATCAGCCTTGAGCCATCCTCTAGCACTGAGCCCACTCAATCTAACCTAAGGTAAGATGGTGTACTATAGAAAAACACAGTTACTCAAGAGCTTGAGCCATTTCTTCATTCCAAACCTTCATCCATGCTCTAGTAACTCTTCAGACTCTAAATCTAGAATAGAATCTACTAACATTTGACATGTTCAGAGAATGTGTTCAGTTAAACTCCAGAATGTATACATTTCCTCTCTTCCATCCCTCTATAAATAGAATTCATTCACAAAAAGCTGGGTATACCTACCACATACCAGCCATTGTGCTTGGCCACTGGGAATACAGAGATAAATCAGACACAGTCTTTACCTTAAAAATAAGCATTTTAATAAGGCCTGTGTCTCTTTGGCATTTGTCATTACACACTAATTCCTCCCTAACTGTGAGTTCCTTATACAATATTTTACTTTGCAGCACTTTAATTCTGTGTACCATCTCAGCCACTATAACAGTTTTTGGTACTAGTATGTATAAATTGTCAGTTACATGTTTGGAGTTAATTCAGAACAAAAGGAACTAAGGGCTGGGTTGAGAAAGGGGAAGTTAAATGGATAGCTGAGCAGAGGTAGAGTTTTGGGGGTATGTTTGGTTTTTTGCATTGTAGCCTAGGGCCGTGGTCAGCAAACTGCGGCTCGTGAGCCAACTGCGGCTCTTTGGCCCCTTGAGTGTGGTTCTTCCTAAGCCTTAGGAGTACCCTAATTAAGTTAATAACAATGTACCTACCTATAAACGTAAAATTTTACGTTTTAAAAATTTGGCTCTCAAAATAAATTTCAATCGTCGTACTGTTGATATTTGGCTCTGTTGACTAATGAGTTTGCCGAGCACTGGCCTAGGGAGATATATTAACAATAGCAATAGCCAAGATTTATTGAGCTTACTATGAAGCAGGAGCTATGCTAAACACTTTACATGCCATATGTCATGTAATTATAAAATTCTGGTAAAAGTACTCTTATGCACATTTTACGTAAGAGGAAAGTAAAGCTTAAAAAGGTAACATATCTTGGCCAAGATCATGCCGGTAGCAAATAGCAGGGTCACATTTAATGCCAGTTTTACTGGACTTCAAAATTCAGTATTTTAGTTACTTCAGAGAAACTCCAGCTGTAACTGCAGGAATACAGTTCTCAAACCTGTTCCAGGGGAAGAGAAGAAGATATGTGAAGAAGTGTCAGCATTTTACAAGGATTAGAAACCAGTATTCAGTCATAAAGTCAGGAGAGCAATGCCTATTTGGATAGAGAGCCAAAGAGAAAACAGACAGACAAAAAGCCTGTCTTTGGTGTCAACTACACCAAACAAAGCAGATTTGCAAGCATCTCATTAAAGTGAAGGTGATCCTGAAATGTTTTCAGGAGGAATAAAATTGGTAAATTAACTTTTTGTGTTACTAATACAAGTTTAATATTGGTATTTCTTAATTTTGTGCTGCTTTATTGTTTTGTACTTTAAGAAATTTAATAAAGTATAATGACATCAATAGGTTCACTCGGAACTTATATCCACTATGCTATATTCCCACTAAGATTGAGCCTCTTTAATTACAAATCGGTGTCTGTGGACGTTTTCATAAATCTAACCCTGTAGGAAAAGGATTTCTCCTTTTTTGCTGGGTGATCTTCATATTACAGTGAACATGTCTTTAGTTTCTTTTTTTCAGGGTTTTCACTTTTTAATAGATAACCTAGTGTTTTCCATTCATTTTTTTAACCCAGAGAACCTCAGCTTACATCTTTCTATTAACAATGTGGTTCTCAACCTTCTGGCCCTTTAAATACAGTTCCTCATGTTGTGACCCAACCATAAAATTATTTTCGTTGCTACTTCATAACTGTAATATTGCTACTGTTATGAATTGTAATGTAAATATCTGATATGCAGGATGATCTTAGGCAACCCCTGTGAAAGGGTCGTTGGACTGCCAAAGGGGTCGTCACCCACAGGTTGAGAACCACTGTATTAACATCTTTACCTAATCAGAGAAGGTTGTTTCCGTGTGACTCATACAACATCAATGTCCCACTGTCCCACTAATGACAGCAGAGGCAGAATGCATCTTGGTAATATAACATTTTTCATTCACATTGCTCATGTGAAGTGTGAGCGTGTGCAGCAGTGCACACCTTTGAGGACATCTAAAAGGCCATGTGTACATTTCCTTCTACGCTTCTCTCCCTGACTGTTTCCATGAACAGTAGCAAGAATGGAAAATAAAGGGAGCCAGAGCTAAAACACATCTACTGCCTGAGTGCATTCTGGTCCAAGGATTGCCATGACCTTGATCAGAATGGACTTCCTTACAACTTCCACAATGTCCCCTCACCTCTTCTCTCTAATGTGGGGCTGCTCAGCTCCCAGCCTGATGGAGGGGAAAAGCAAGGACTTTGATAAACAAATTGGGCTTGAATCTCAATTCTCTAATTTGTTAGCTGTGTGAACCTGGGCAAATCACTACCTTTCTGCATTTGATTCTTTATCTATAAAATGTGGGCACAATGCCTGGCTCATTATAAGCACTCTGTAAATGATAGCCTTTATAAACAAACATTTGTCATTAAAAAGAAACTTCATAGAATTTCCAGGATTTGTTTTTGCCATTATTATTCAGTGATTCAAAAGGTGATTCAAAAGGTGATACAATGTAATAGTTACTAGAATGGACTTTGGAGTCAAATCTCAACCAATACCACTTACTGGCTATGTCTAACATTGAGTAAGTTAACCTTTCTGTACAAAAATAAGGCTATACCTACCTTACAATGTTGCTTTCAATTATACATGAATTATTTTTTTCAAATTTTAAGTGTACAGTTTAGTAGTGTTTAAATACATTTATATTATTGTGCAACCATCACTACCATCCACTTCCATAATTCTTTTCATCTTGTAAAATTGAAACTCTGTACCCATTAAACAACCCCTGGCAACCACCATTCTACTTTCTGTCTCTAAATGTATTAAAGTATCTCATATTAACTAGAATCATACAACATTTATCTTGTTGTGTCTGGCTTATTTCATTTAGCATAAGTCCTCAAGATTCATCCATGTTTTAGCATATGTCAGAATTTCCTTTTTAAGGCTGAATAATATTTTAAAATGTATTATGAATCATATTTTGCTTATTCGTTCATCCATCAATGGATACTTGGGTTACTTTTGTATCCTAACTATTTTGAATAATGCTGTTATAAACATGGGTATTCAAGTATCTCTTCCAGACCCTGCTTTCAATTCCAACATGAATTATTTCTGAGTGCCTACTAGCTGCCAAGACACAGTGCTTGTACCTTTGGACTAAATGTGACAATATGTAGAGTGCTCCTAACAGTGTCTGGGTTTAAAGTAAAAACTTAACAGGTGGTTCAGATCTTGTTCCTGAAATGAGAGCATTGGTTATTTTTTGTGTGTTTGAATGTTCCTATTTGAGTATTGTTGCTTCTACAACATGAATGAGAAGTACAAGGAAGATGAAATACACAGTATTTTCTGAATGTACCCAAGCCCATTCTGATCCTCTGCTGTCCTTTTTCCAGTGTCACTGCAAAGATAAAAGCCATTGAAGCAAAACTGAAAATGATGGCAGAAAATCCCGATGCCGAGTACCCAGCAGCGCCTGTCTATTCCTACTTTAAGCCACCAGATAAAAAAAGGACTACTCCTTATTCTAGAACAGCATGGAAATCTCGAAGATGATGGTTACGAATCACTGTAGCAGCAAAAGCAAATTGGTCTCCACACCTGAAACCCTCTGCCTTTGTACTTTGTAGATGTGACTGGTACTCCCCAGCAGAGCATAATCCCTTGTTAGAGAGAGACAGGGAAGTGGGAGATTTTGAATCATGTTGAGAATTGTTGTTCTAGAATTTACTATGGAAATCCCTCCAAGTGGACTAAAAAGGAAAAGTTTTTGGCAAAAGGGAGCTGGTTCTTTGAGCAAACGTTGTGGTAATCTGCTTAACAATTATGCTTTTTGTTTCAAAATCCCAATTAGCAAAATATGCCGTATATCTTAAGATTGTTTGCATCAACAAAACTATAGAATCAAATTTAGCATATTGTACCACAACAGAAGTTCTCTTTGGAAATCCAGCTTTTATTCTATAGTGATCATCGATTTTTTAATCTAAATAATCCTGCCTTCTATAATACAAATCTGGTTATTAACATGGGGCTTTTAAAATGCACTTATTGCATGAGATTGTTTTTATGGCATGAGAATGTTCTATTTGGAATTGTATCATGATCAATCTAAATAGAAAACAAAATTTATTTGAAAACCTGAATGTTTCTATATTGATCTCTATCAAACATTATTTATTAATAATTGCCTAGGGGTCTAGTAGAAGAAATTGGATTGCCTGTGTGGGGTGAGGTGGGGACAAGTAGTGGACACAGTGGAGCAGGCACTACTCTGGCACCAAGATGGTAATGACCTCATGTTTTATGTGGTTTTTAAAGGCTTGAAAGACTGCATGACTTATAACAATAGGGAGAGAAAAATAAATCGTGTTTATTTGGTAGTGTGGTTAGGTAGTGTGTTTTTCTCAGTGGTGTAGTCATCCTGGTGCCAGGTGGACAGACTGTGTCATTGGGCAGCACCATTGTCTCTTCACCAGATAAATCATTATTTCACCTTAGGGTGCCATTCTTAGTGATTACAGACTTTTTACCATTGTCATTCATAGCGAGAGGAAACTTTCACTATAGGAACTTAAGTCTTCCTATGAGCATAAGTGAATTTAAGACACTTAAACCAAAACGTCAGTATAGTGGGGTTTCAGAATTCACAGAGCTGGTTCAGGGAAGTTCTTACCGCCTTTCCCACGGTAGATCTTTCTAGATATCTTTAGGTATTAAATACTTTCTGCGTTCATTAGCTCTGTCTATGATGCACGTAACTCTCCTTCCATTTGGGGGAAAGTTTACAGAGGTGGAAGAATCATCTCCCAGTTTTCTGGTGACTTCTTAGAGCATAGAATTCACTATTTTATCCTCAAGTCCTCAAAGGGTTGTGGTGATGTAGAACTCACTCAATGCAAAATAGTCTTCTATTTTTAATAGGAACTTAGAAAATACTTAACTTTGAATTACCTAGAGCTGTTTCCTTTAGAAACCAGAATTATTTATTTGTATTTAAAGCAATGTTTATTATTTGTACCAATTCTTACTCCTCTGTGAATAAATGGAAGACAGTGTCTGTGCAATTGTGTCATCTCTCATCTGTTTCTTGGAATAAAGACTGCAGCTCTCTGGTAGGCTTGTTTTGCCTCAGAACTCGGGCCAGTGTGTCAGGGAGAGGTAGGGGTTGGGTGGGGATTGCTGTATCTAAGAGCCTTCTCTGTGGAAGGCTGGCTAGAGGCGCCCTCAGAGACAGTTCTCTCCACCTTTACACCTGCCTAATTCTGTTGTTAGACATGAGAAAAAAGACTAGCTGTTCTCACTGCAAACGTATTTAAAAAGAAATCGTTATTGGAAATCCCTGAAAGCATCATACTGTGGCTAATCCCTTTTTAAAAGTAGAAGTTTCAAAAGAAGAAATGTGTGTGTCATAAATGTGCTGGAAGCAGTTTAGTGAAAGGTTTGTAAAATACAAGTGCTATCTGTACTTCAAAATTATTTGTTGGCTTACTGTTTTACTAAAGTCGCATCACTTATAATTTTGATTTATATAAGAGTGAATAATTGAGGGAAATATTCAGACGAAGTGTGAACTATCTTTATCTCGGCTCCTATTTTATCAAATGTAAAATGTGACCCTAAGCAGTTGATTTTCTGTAATGGGCATGTCCGTTTTGGGGCAGAGGATCACATAATGAAAGATTTTTCAAATCATGTCAAAAATCAGCAGCTAAAGTTTTTTAAAACCAAATATCTTAGAGCCCTGTTGTTTACTATTAAGGTAGGTACAGTTAATTTTTGAGTCAGCAAATATATCTCATTTGTAATATTACTATGTAAAAGAACAGGATCAGTTCTTGCTCATAAATTAACTGTCAACTACTGGTATGTAATCATGTTCCTAAAAATAGGACTTCTCCCATCATTTTTATTCTTGATTTTTCTTTTTCTCTCCTGCTTCTAGCTAGCCCTGTAAACTTTATCCTTCAAAATACGTCTTGAATCCAACCACTTGTCCCCATCTCCAACAGCTACCATTCTCCATCAAGCCATTATCATCTCTCACCTGGATCATTGCAGTGCCTTCCTATAGAGAACTGCTGATTTGTTAATGTGTCTGTGCAAATTTCAATGATCAAGAGGCCACCTGACCTCCCTTTCTTAACTCACAGCCCTGTTACTCCCCAATCCTTTTTCCCTTCTTTATTTTCTGAATAATACTTATCATTACCCAATTTTTTCAATTGCAGTCGACATTTAATATTATTTTTATTAATTTCAGGTATATAGCATAGTAGACATTTATATAATTTAAGAAGTGATCCCCCTAAAGTAAGTACCCACATGGCACCATACATAGTCATTACAGTATTACTGACTATATTTCCTAGGCTGTGCTTAAATCCTCGTGGCTACTTTGTAACTACCAATTGTGCTTCTTACTCCCTTCACCTTTTTCACCCAAGCTCCCACCTTAAATTTTTTCATTAAAATGTAAATTCCATGTTAGCAGGAACTTTTATTCACTGTTACTAGTATATCCCCAACATTTTAAAAAATATTTTTTATATCTTCTTGCTTATTTCAGAGAGAGGGAGAGATAGAAACATCAATGATGAAAATCATCAATTGGCAGCCTCTTCCACGCCCCACATGGGAGATGGAGCCTGCAACTCGGGCCTGTGCCCTGACCAGAATTCAAACCATGACCTGGTTCCTGGGTCGATGCTCAACCACTGAGCAACACCAGCCAGGCATATATCCCCAACATTTAAAACAATTCCTGGTATGTAATAGCTGCTCAAATATTTGTTGATGAAAAGTCAGAATCATGCTACTTGAGAGCTGAAGGGCCTTGAAAGGCTATCCCATGTAATCTTATCGTCCAGATGGAAAAAAGAAACCCAGAGAGACAAAGTGAGTTGGCCAGGATCACATAGTTCATGGGCAAGCATTAGAACCCAGGCCTGCAAACACCTACCTAGTCTTGGGGTCACTGAGTCAGCAAACGCCTGCACCCTCTTCCTATAACCCACAAGGTTATGACTTTTACATTAAATGATTGAGGAAAGAGTCAATACTATTTTATGACACATGAGAATTACATGAACTTCAAATTTCAGTGTCCATAAATAAATTGTTTTGGAGCACAGCCATGTCCATCATTTGTGTATTTTCTATGGCAATTTTCCCACTGCAATAAGAGTTAAGCGGCACAACAAAGACTATGGCTCACAAAGCCTAAAATATGTGCCATCTGGCCCTTTACAAAAAAAGTTTGCCGAGCCCTTCCCTGAACTATATTTTATTAGTGGAAATGTCTTTCTAAATTTTTGTGGTATTGAAGGTTCTGGTGTTAATGGCACAGAATCAAATCAACACAGGTGAAGGAATGGTGTGCAGTTAGCACTGTCAGTTCCTCATCACCTCTCTGATCCCTTATACATCTTTTGAAATAGAGAGCTGGCTATCTAAGCCTAGAAGCATCCCTGTACTGGAAAACACTATGTAAGTGTAGACTAAATCCCATCATCTGTATGAGGAACTAAGACCCAAAGAGCTTTGGTGTCAGAGGTGCCTGAGTTAGACTTCTAGCCCCAGCTGTGTGAACAGATTAGTCAAGACTTAGTTCAAGTGACAAAAACCCTACTCCAACTTCCTTATGGTAAGAAACTTATTGGCTCATGTAACTGAAAAATCCAGGTGTTCAAATGATATGGTCAGGAATCTGTCTATCTCTTGATTGTGTTTTCCTCTGGGTCGGTTTCATTCTCAGACAGTGGTCTCTGGAGAGAGACTTGAATTCTAGGTTTAAAAAACCAAAAAAAAAAAAAAAAAACCACACCAAAACAGGTCTGTCAGAATTTATCCCAGAACATGGTGCTGTACCTTCCTTCCTGTGCATTCAGTCTTACTTGGCTAGGATTACTGATTATATAGAATGCCATTTTATTTTTGCTATGTCCTATGACCTTTCTAAGCTAGAACTAGAATTGAAAATTTAGCCTTAAAAATAAAACCAAGTAAGTTTTCCTCTTCTGGCCTCTCCCCATTGACAAGCTTTCTGATAGGTACCTCAGCCAAAGGACAGTGACTGATTCCTCAAACATGTACTGAGCATCTGCCATGTGTCGAAGGTGGAGGGTGCAGGGTGGAGGATGCTGAGGTGCGATCCCTGTGCCAGGGACCAGGATAAAGGGAAGATTCAGGAGCTGCAAGAGCACAGAAGATGGGCACCTAACCAAGCCGGAAACAGAGGTGAGGCCATATATACATGATTTCCCAGAGGCAACAAGACCTGAGCTGAGCTCCGAAGGATGTTGAAGCACAAACCAGGCAAAAGGGTTAAGAGAAGTGCTGGAGGAAGAACAAAGCCCAGAGAAGTAAGTGAACTGATCAGGAGAGGAGCTAAGACACTTCTGAATATTTAGACACAGGATAAGCCAGGGGGCTGAGGACTTCTATAATCTGCCCAAACATGTATTCTCCCCTAACCACAGGAAAGTGCTTGTCTACCCAAACACGATGCAATCTCCCAGCTCCCCATGTCCCTGTGCAAGACTTTCCTTCTACCTGGAAAGTCCCCTCTGCACA